GATCTTGAACCTCAATGGTGTCTTGAGCCAAATGGCGATCAATGGAACTTGGGAAGCAACACCAACAAGGACCTCAGAACAGCTACCCAATTTCGGCACGGGGCCTAGAGGGTTTTAACATCCCCCATTTGGGTCGCATTGTTCATCATGCGGTCCAAACACCACAAAAACGTTCCACTGGCCACGGCTTCAGCTACGAAATCGTGTCGTGCATTCTTTTACTTGCTATCGCTACACCGTTCATTCGTTGTGAAACATGCCGGGTTCGATTGTATGAAAAGTGAAACATTCATCCACCAATCGAAGCGCACTCCCATATGCAGGTGTATACAATACACAATCGTCACGTCATTTGACCACCAGTGAACATCCCGGCTGCCGCATTTGCGCATCGCGCAGCCGTCATCCATAGAAATGGGTTGGCCATAAGAGTCCAACGGAGGCGCCTGCTCGTAAGCAATCTGCATATCTCCGGCAAAGAAATATCGGTGAGCAATCAATGCAAATCATAGCCATTCCAGATACCATGAACAATAAACATATATATATATATAATGAAAAGGAAATCATCCATGAGGTAATAGTTCCATCCATGAATATCCAGAATGTCATAGTCGTCGGAATATGTAACCATATACACATCCATTCAACTTGGACGCATGAAATCATATCATGATGTAAAGTCGTTCCATCGCAATAGTGTCAATGAGACGCAAGCAACGGATGGGGACTAACCCACATCGTGCCGCAATCATCATTTTCACTGCGCATACCTGTCCCCAATGGACAGTCTGTGAGTGCGCCGACGGAACTCCTCGTCCAAGTTCTTCTGGGCTTCTCGTGCCCGGACACACTTCTTGCTGTAATCCTCTGGTAGCCAGTGCCCTTTCCGAAGGCACCAATCCAGCAGAGGCGTGTCACACTTGTTCGGGTCGACGGCCGAGATGATGGCGCTCACGTTGACCGCGTAACCATATTTGCCAAGGTTCAGGCCATCCCTCACGAATGATATATACTTACAGTTGAAAGCCAGTGCAAAGCATCTGAAAATAATATCACCTACCGGGCGCACTCGGTCCTTGACCAGGAGCTTCATTTCGTCCTTGGTGACATCGAGGATTCTCGCTGCAATCCACAGCTTGTAGAATGTGTATAGTCCCTCGCATTTGCACACCATCATACGAATATATTCGTCACGCTCCTCAACCGATCGGAAGGCTCTTGTCCGAACATTCTCCGATTGAGAAATCTTCAGTGTTGTTGATGGCAAAAGTATACCTTCCTGATCGTGCTCAGTCATGTTGGGGTATCTCTTGAAGTAATTGTGGTAAGGGCAGCCCGGTCTCCCCTCGAGTTGGGCATTCATCGTTCTCTCCTCACCACCCTCGAACATCCCCCACATCTTGGACATCTGGAGTGCGATAAACCCTGCCATGTACTGAGCCTCACGCGGCTCGTCAAGGCAGATCGCCATCCGCTGGGAGTTTATGATATCCCGTGATGTCAGATCAGTGTCGCGGTAATACCAACCGCTGTCATCCTCTTCTGACGCATATCCGGATGTATATCCTTGCGTGTCCATGTCGTCTTCTTCTCCCGGAACTTCCTCCGCTTCGTCATCATCCTCCTGTGCCGCCGCATCGTGGTTGGCTTCTTCCTGTGCGCGCTTGGCATCTCCCGAGACATTGGGGTTTTGGTTGTCCTCCTCATCGTCGGAGTTGACGTGGATGTAGTACCTCCCGGTGGAGATCAGTTGCGCCTCACATTCCAGGCATAAGCAGAAGCAGGTGGGGATCGCGGTCGCACATGATGGACATATCCGGCATCTCAGTCCTTCCCGTGTCTCATCATTCA